CCAAGTTGGTATAAGTACTCGGTTTCCTTAATAAGAGAAAGCACTTTGTAAACATGTTAGCTCAAGATTCATCCCATTTTTCTCTCACCACTCCAGGTGCTTCAGCATGGGAACATAGAAGATGTCTTTCCATATTCCCTAGAAAAATGACCAAAAAAAGAACAAGGCAAGGTAAGAGTACTTGGGCACATGCCCTCTAATAGTAGACAGGCTTGGGGCAACACTATCCCTGGACTGCTGCTGTATAGTCCACAGTCTTTGTCACTTATCTTCTATTTTTTTTGTACTATGAGATAAAATTTCACTTCCTTTTAGGGCAGACGGTCAATGTGTTATTCTGGTGCCAATACTCATCTTGTACCGTTTGTGTGTGTGCAATTGCAGGGGTGAGGCGGGAGCAATGATTTTCTACAGCAGTGGTACCGTAAAGTTACAATTCTGCCTTTGACATCCCGGGGTAGGATGTTGTTCCTGGGGAGCTGATCTGGACGACTAATGTTGCTGGACAGTAAGGGGTTGATGAAAGGTTCAGTGAATTCATGTGAAACAGCACAATAATGGGCACCAAAGAAAAGCCTGTGTTAATAAATAGCTGTGAAAAATCAATGGCACTTACACAGAGGGAAGCAGAAAGGTCTCCTTGCCAGCAGGGACAGAGCATGCTGGTTTTCCACTGCACCTTGCTTTCATGAGGTGCCAAGCCAGAGGCCTGACCTCAGAATACCCTTTATTGTTGTTGCTGTGCCTTACAGACGTTCTAGGTTTAGCCAGAAAAGCCACTGACACTTAAGAAGTCTTTTTTTTTCTCATGCCAGCTTACGAACAGATGCCCAGAACAATTAAGACTGTGTTTGTTTTATTGCACTGAGTGTGGAAACCACAAGATGTAAAACAGCAAAAAATTAAATTCCTGAAGGACTCAACCAGGTCAGTAATATCACTTTGGTGCCATCGCCAAGACTTCTTCACATGCAAAATTCTAGCAGTGTGTCTCAAATGAATGCTACAGTGCACTGGAAGCCTGACCCAGCTTTCCTTGGTGCATTACATCACGTTCAGTCAGTGGAACTGAACAAAAAATAAAGCCACGACAATATTACTTGCCTTTCGAAGCCCCAAATTAGTTCGCTGCTGCTGCCTTAACTGTAGACAACATTTTCACGGCATTTGCAAAGGCCAGTGACTCCAGATTCACCTACCATCTCTAACTCTGAGTACAAACTCACATCGCTCTTCAGTTTTCTGCTGAGACCTTAGCACTTGATTGCTCAAATCTTTCTCTTCCAGGTACTTAACTCCCTATGGCAGTGCTTAAACTTGGGTGCGACTTACTTAGGACTAATCACTATAAACTGAGTTAAGTGTTATCAGGAGAACCCCTTAACACAAGTGTTAACAGCACCACCGTAGCTCAGCCACTAAGATGTATCACAGACACTGCTTAAAATCCTTAAGCAAAAGATTGCTGAAGACTTTGCTGGCAGAGTTTCGTCAGTTATTTCTACTCAACAGATGGTGACTCCACACAGAAAAACTTCAGGTCTAATACATCCCAACGGACTCAGTCTGTGTCATTCAGTCCCCCGTGAGCTCTGGCGCTCGCTCTAGCCCGCAGGCTGGGTGCAGAAACCAGGCTGCATGCACAGCTGGGCATTGCCAGGCCTTTGCAGCCAGCATGCACGTCTGCAGACCCAACCACTGCCCTTTCTGGGGCAGTCCAGACACAGAGGTTGGACAGGTTGTTTTTTTTTTTTAAGCTACAGTTGTGGAAATTTTTTAGAGACCAGATAAGGAGACAGCTCTTGTTTCTGTATTACTGAGTGATATAAAGCTCCTGTTGTTGCCCCAAAACTGTGAGAGATGTTAAGCCTCCATCACTCGATCTGAAACAGCGAAGGGAAAAATCTTGTTAGGGTATGAGTAATACCTGAGTCCTGGTTTTAAATTACCAGGCTGCCTATATTCTGCCCTACCAGGGCAAAGTGAAAACAAAGTATTTTACATGAGAGATGCTGGTGATGATTGACTCATTCTTGTGTGTTGTTTTTGACACATTGCTTCGATCTGAACACCTGCTGGAGTTTTGTGCCCACAAGATCTTGTCACTGACACACTTCAGTTTGTCATTCAAGCATTTTTTTTCTCAGAACACAGAAGTACGATGCTCTGCTGACCACTACAGTTGTTTAGATGCATCCACTTGGCATGGCATCTACCCACCAGCATCTTATGGTATATATATACACCGGAGACATTGCCCTGGGAGAAAGGTGAGTTGGGGTGTGGGGTAAGGGAGGACTCCCAGCTGGAAGCAGCTGCAGGATACCAGGAGAGAACCCTCTCTGCTCACCAAGAAGAGTGAGTCCCAGTGCTGGTCCAGCACACTGCTCATCCACTGCGAACAAATGCCAAACTCACTCTCAATAAAGCAACTCATACACAGATTTTAGCAACATTTCAGAGAGCTTGAGTTAAAGGATAAAGTTCATGGAAATCGGTGAATACGCGATAGCCATTTATTCTCCTCTGGAAAAATACGACAATCCATTTATATATTCAGACTGAACACATTTGTAAAGGGACAGTTCAGAGTAAGCTGGATCACAATGCTAGAATAAGGAGGACGCCAGGGAGAGGGTTCACAGGGTACTTCCACAGAGAGACAGGCTGGGCAGCAGCTAAAGAGGACAGGGCAAAAGGGAGGCAAAGGCACAAGAAGGAGCAGAGTGAAGCCTTGGACCGGGACAGCAAACACCATGCAAAACTCTGGGAACCCCTTCAGGGCTGACACAGACACAACGTGGCAAGAGACACCGCACTTGTCAACTAATCTGACTAATGATGCTGTCAATGTTAACCCCCCAAAATTTCACATAAATTCACATCTCAGACACTGCTAGGGAGGTGATCGAAACTGCATCAAAAAAAAAGACAAAACTTTGCTCTTACTAGGCAAATGTGAGAAGACACTCTCTAATGTGGTGCTTCAGACTGAGCAATTCAGCATCAGGTGGGAGACGACTTAAAACAACGTACAGGAGTGAAAAAAGGATGTGCCAAAAAACCCTACAAATACACCAGAAGAAAATCAGGAGTCATTTCAGTACCATGCCTAGAGACAATAATTTTCCTTGAACTAGGCTAAAGTATTGCACCTCTCAGAAACTTTACTTTAGCTTACCTCCCCTCATGGGCAAAATTGCCCCCAAACAGCTGCTTTGAAGGACTGACAGTTGATATATAGTTCATAAATTTTGGTCCCTGAATAAAAAGGTATCATGTCAAGCTGCTTCTCATTTACATTGTGTAAACCTGTAAGATAATCTACACAGTAAGTCAGGTACACGGTACTCCAGACAGAAACAAATTATCATCGTGATTAATGGAAAATCTTTAACGGAATAAAAATAATTCCTGTTTAATTTTAATCCTCTGCAGGATTGCACCATCCAAATCCTCAATGCCCTTCTGGATTGAAAACTGGATTTTCTATAAACTGCAGGAGTTCCACATCTTCTCATGGACTCTAGTGTACAGGATTAAAAAAATAGTGGAAAACACACTCCCCAGCTTTGAAAAAATATTATTAATCTGAGAAATGTGACAAACATTTGAGACATCATTGTATATCACACTGTTGGAGAAACAGTCACTAAGCTACCTTTTTTATTAGCAGATTCTGTAACTTCTCTAACATTAGAAATACAGTAAAGATTGTCTCAAGACTTCAGTATTTCTGTAAAACAAATGTTTCAAGTTAGTAGTATAATGCTTTATAATATAGACAGAACTGGGTAAAAAATAAAATAGGCACAGGCTAATTAAATGGTATTAAGTTCATGAAAGGCAGCAAGAAAAGCATCAAAATACTACTATTACTACCACTACTACAAAAAGACAGATTAGGACAAGGACTTAAAAGGAAAAAATCAGAGCAGTGCACATACTAAACAGGCAGCTAGTGGGCCCAGATGCACAGCATAGCCTACTTCTACTTTAAAACATCAGCACGCATCTCTAAAGAAAGAAAAATATCTGTGTTTTTTAAAAAGAGATCGACAGAAGAGAGGTGTTCAGCGCTGTTGGAGAATCAGAGCACTGGAGAACCCACAACTACTCGCTGCTTTGCGCAACTTGGCTCGAGCACCTCAGCGCAGCGAACAGCCCCGTGCTCACACACATGGGCCAGCCTAGTTAAGTGCTCTCTCAGCCTAGTTAAGCGCTTTCATGCCTTACCTATCTCTCCATACTGCCTACTTACACTTGCACATGTCTTCAGCGTGGCTGTCTCAGGGGGTGAAAAAGCCCACAGAATTACACCTCCCTCCCTCCCTCTCTCTCTCTCACCTCTTATTCTAGCCAGCAAAATCCCACTTGCTTAGCTTACTTCTTCTCCCAAGCGACTCTCCTTCAACCTTGTTCTTCACTCCTTCCTTGGTTCTACATTTCACTGGCAGGGGAAGACCTGACTCTTTCAGGCTGCCATGCAAACTGCACCCCACAGCACCAGCAGCAGCAAGGCTGATAAGTGACCAATGTTCTCAGCCTTTTCATAAACTTGCCTCAGTGTGGGTAACTTAAAGGTAAGGAAAGTTGTCTTCTGTTATTGTTGGAGAGCATTAGCTGTTTACAGCTGCTTAATCTTAACTTCACCCCATCCAGACTCCCCCAGCCTATTCCTTTGAGTAAGACCTTGTGATGAATAAGAACCACCTCTGGCAATAATTCTGATCATCTTCTCTCTGCTTCGTGCCTTATCAGAACGTCCTGCTCTCCCTGCATCGATTTAAGACTGTGCTTTTGCTAAGTGACTAGCTTTTCATCCGGCAGTAGATGGGTAGGGGCATCCTGTACTCGGCAATACACCAGCTGTGGCAATACTAAAGGCATGATGGAGTGAGGAAACAAGGGGCAATAATCTCCACTGGTGCTGCATCACAACTCCAATAACACGACTGAACAGCAGGACTTAAGACTCAAGGGGACTGGGGGCTCTACACCATGGCGGGCATCTGTTCACCCCTGCAAACCGTTTCAGTCTAACACAGAGGAAGGAGCAGGCCGGACACAGCAGTTAGGACGCCTAAAATTCTGCAGCATGGACTGGAATACGTTATGCTGCCTCCCTTTCAGTTTTTTATTTGAGGATGTATCCGAGGAAATGGATTTCCGGTTCTGAGTGTTTTGAGCTCGGATCAGTTTCTCATGTTCACGTATTTGTCTCTGCAAGTGGTTTTGGATAGCAATTCCCAAGGATTCTGGATCGAGGGAAGCACCGTAAACTTCCCACGTCATGCCTTGCTCATCCCACACAACGTCCCTGACGTGCTTGGACTGCTTCACCTGCACTTTGGCCTCCGTGGCTGGGGTGGGCTGCTTTTTGCTCTCCCCAAGATTTGGCAAAGCCTGAGCTGAAGCAGGAAGAGCCGCTGCATCAAGCTCACGTCTGGACTCCTTGGCCCGCAGGCGCTGCTGTTGAGGAGCTGCTGAGGCCTCCGCAAGAGGCGGGACGTGAGTGGAACTGCGACCACTGCTCTCGAGAGCCTGGCTGATCTCTCCTTGCTCTGCGCCATGGCCCTTTTCCCCGGTATCCTCTGAGCTGGCCTTTATGCTGTTGGCAGCAGGTTCACCGCTAACATTCGTCACCCCTTTAGGACCAAGCACCGCCAAGTTTTCTTCCTTCGGTTTGACCATGGATGGAACGGGAAGTGTCTCCACTTCATTCCCACCCTTACACTGCCTGGGTTTTTGCTCGGAGCTGCCCAGGACGTCTTTCTGCTTGATTTCACCGTGGGTACTACCGGGTAAAGGTAACTGGCTGTTTCCTGCATCCGGCACAAGATGCACGTTGCTCTTGGTTTCTGGGCCAGCTGCAGCTGAGACAGTGTTTGGTTCACCACAACCAGGCTGTGAGGGCATTTGATAGCTGGTATGGACTGCAGGCTGGTCGGCAGGCATTGCCTTTGGCAGGGCTGGAGCATCCAAGGGCACTGGAGCAGCATCCCGGCCGTCTCTGGCTGCACGGACTGTCTGGGCACTGGCCATAGACGGTCCTGGGGAGGTGATGGCTGTGGGAGGGCAGGGCAGGCCGGGCGCTGCGTTATCTGCTGAGGCTGGATGCATCGTGGCAGATGGGTCTCCAGGATGTTCTTGCAATTTGACAGCTGGAGTTTGGGCTGTATTGGTCACAGCTGTAACAACAGTCGGTTCTGACATGATACCAGAAGAACATGGGGACTTTGGATGCGAGGACAAGCTGTCAATAAGTTCAGTTTGGCTCAGTCCCCCAGTGCCTTGATAGATGATGTGCAGTTCCTCCTTTTCCTCCAACCGAGGGTTCCCTTTTAAGAAGGCAGAAAGGATACTGGGGCTGGTACAGGCTGATTTGCTCTCCACACAGGCCACGGCCTGAACCTCAGCATCTCTCCATGTCCTGTTTGCTGCCTCCTGAGTTAAAGAACTGTTCTCAGTCTGCACTGTCATTGTACCCGTTTCTCTGAACCTGGAGAGCTGGCTCAGGCCTGCACTGCACACTGGCTGCGCGCTCTCGAGCCTCAGCTGGGCTGGGGATGTGCTGCCCTGAGCTACGGCACTTGCATCAGCGGGACCTGATTGCACAGCGTCTGCAGCCCTGTGTTCTGCCTCCAAAGCAACCTGAGGGCCTCTCCTCACATCACCCTCAGTGTCCCTCGCCAAAGAGGCCGACCAACACACAGCAGGAGCATTTTTTTCTGCTGCCTTTTCTTTTTCTTCTCTTTGCAGGACGTTTTCCTGAGGAGCATGAAAGGACTCATTACCCCTAACAGGGGTGCTTGGGGAAGAACAGCTTAACACCTCCAGTGCTGGCTGATCATCAGTCCCCTGAGGTTTCAGTGCAGAGTCATCCATTTGCGCCAGGGAGCTTGAGCTGGCTGGGCTGCTTTGCACAAACTGTCGCGAGTTCTGTGGGGCTGGCATCACAGCTGGCCTGGGCCCTGCTCCGCAGGCTCCTTGTGCTGGCCGGCCTTGCGCTGCCGGCTCCTCGCTGCCTTTTGTGTGCAAGTTACCAGCAGACTCTACGCCTGCAGGATGCCCCTCGGAAGCCTTGTCCAAGAGCCCTGGAGAAAGTGTCCCCTGCCGGCGAGCATCATCCCCAGGGCGTTTCTCACATGTCTGACCGTCGGCAGCTGTGGTGTATTTTAGGTCAAAAGAGCAAACTCCAGCAGAATCAGACACCGTGTGTGGAAGACCATTGCTGGCTGTCGCTTGACTTGGCTGTTTGGGCTGGTGCTTAGCAGACTGCAGGTCTCCCACCTGATCGTTCTCCTCAAAAGCTGTGACCAGGGAAAGCTTGGCAGACCTCAGAGGATCTGGTACAGTCCCCATGGAATATCTCGGAGCCGTGGATTGCTGTCAGCCTCTATGAGTCCTCTTGCAGGGCAGTTTTCGCACGGAAGGCAGACTCCCAGCAGCAGCTTTCTTGTTAATCTGCTAATAAGAGAAACACAGTGTTAGCAAAAGATAGATTTAAGAAGAAAAGTAACCAGCACAAATTTGTTTTACAGCTGTAAGAGACAGTTGTAGGCAATTCTTTACCAAGCCACCTGTGGAAGGAAGGAGACTCTAATGGCTAGCTTACCTGCTGTGTGTATATGGAGAATTGATCTGATCCCCCCAAGACCCACTCGGTGACCTACATGGATGACCTACTACTGCTGTGCACCAGTTCTCCTTTCCCCTCACAGGGAGCCTTCCTCTAATACCACCGTGAACAAGAAACTACTCACTCAAGGCAACTGACAAACACTGAAGACAGATGTCTTTCAGTTAATTCAGACTAACATGCATGAAATTGAACCTCATGGTGAAAAAAATACTGTGGGAAGACAACCTCATGTCTGATGATGTAGATAACTGCCAAGAGAAGGTACTGGACTGGTTTTAATATGGAGATATGCATATATTGAGTGTTTTCGCATTTAGATCCTTTTGAAATGATTACCAAGAGGCCAGGAGGACTAACTGATGCACAAAACTCAGGCACAGACCAGCTAGAAAACCACTTATACATAGGTGATAAGAAACAGTTTAAAAGTGAAACAGTAGCATCATGGAATAGGAATGGTCCCAAGCAACAGGGAATGCCATGTCCAATGAAACAGCAGGCAGGGATTTTAAATAGGTGGAGCAGAGTTATCCAGGTTGAAATGTGGTCAGGACTGCAGAGAAACTGTCACTTGAAACTGGAGTCCATGTCCAAACGTGCCTTTTCTGAGTGGGGTCTACGACATGACTCAGCACTGCCCAGCTCCAATCCTGCTAGAGGCTTGAGCCCCTCTCAGAGATGGGCAGCAGTGGTCAGTGATGAACCCCCCCCCCTTCCTCCCATCTCAGAGTGAAGGGTCTGCCTCGTTTACGCCTCTCTTCAAAGCCTTCCTCGGTCTGTGCTGCCACAGAAGCACCACTGTGGGACTTGGAAGAAACAATGAACATGAGCTTAATTTAACGGGGGAGATCATGATGGGAAAACTGCTTTACCTCTATGTGCCCATGTCTCTTTGGGCATACAGTAGGATTTCCATTGCAAAGTTATTTAAAAGGTAATGCTGCAAGGAGCTTAGGAAAGCTGTTTTGACTCTCCCCCTGCCCAGACTGTACCAGCACAAGTCCTTTCCACAAACCCTTCCCACTCACCTCTTCTCTCTACACCAGAATGGCACAAGGTACCAGAATCTCAGGGTAGACAAAAAAAGCGACAGTATTTAATGGAAGCAGAATTAAAATGGAAAGCCTATTTTCCTAAGAAAAGCAAAACAGTGCAGTTTATCATTACTAATGAAGCTTTTAGGTCTTCCAAATATTAATTATGTATTTTTAAATTGCACCACTTACCTCAAGTACTTCTGGGCTTCACCCAAACACAGCAATACCTATTCTGCTGGTCCTGCAACATGGGGATGCTGCCCCCAAAGAGCACTAAGCTGTTCAGC